AAGTGCAAGTAAACAGGAGAAGCGGGGAGGAGTGAGGAGTCGGCACAAACAGGATCCCGTCACAGAGCGAGCACAGCACAACAAGACGCAAGCACACACAGGGAAAAGAAGCAACACTGCTCAAAACCGCCAAGGGTACCGGTGCACAAGCGCCTTTGTGCCCCACAGGGTGGCTGCTGTAAGGATCCCTCCGCCAACAGCACGCCCAAAGAAACAATTTATATTCACATAAGAACAATGACAGCCAAAAAATATAAAATATATACCAAAAAACACAAACAAAAAGACAAACCAAAGAGTGAAACAAAAAAAAAACGAACGATCGAGACAAATAATAATAACCCAGTAAATACCCATGTACAAGACCCAGAGTGTGAGCTGTGTGGATGCGCGTGGGCTGCGGTGTTTGCCGTGTGCACGCCCGCATGCGGGAGATTCCTCTTGACACCAAGTGCCGCCCTGCTACAATTTGCCCCCCAAACTACACACACACACACAGACAGACACACAAAGAGGGCTCTCATCCCCAGAGCAGCGCTGCCACGGCAGCAGCGAGAAAAGCACCGGCGGCCACCCAAGGCTGCGCGACGGCGCCGGTAGCGTCAATGGACCCCGATTCATTTGTCTCATTCTCCTGTGCGGCCACCACCAGCTGGAAGCACAGCAGGGCGCACACAACGAGGGCCACGGCGAAGCGGTTGAGACGGGTGGCGGACATGGTATCCTTGCGAATTATTGCAATGGTTGCTTTTTGCTGATCCTGCCTGCGTTTTCTTCCGCAGCCCAGAAAGTGCAAGTAAACAGGAGAAGCGGGGAGGAGTGAGGAGTCGGCACAAACAGGATCCCGTCACAGAGCGAGCACAGCACAACAAGACGCAAGCACACACAGGGAAAAGAAGCAACAATGCTCAAAACCGCCAAGGGTACCGGTGCACAAGCGCCTTTGTGCCCCACAGGGTGGCTGCTGTAAGGATCCCTCCGCCAACAGCACGCCCAAAGAAACAATTTATATTCACATAAGAACAATGACAGCCAAAAAATATAAAATATATACCAAAAAACACAAACAAAAAGACAAACCAAAGAGTGAAACAAAAAAAAAACGAACGATCGAGACAAATAATAATAACCCAGTAAATACCCATGTACAAGACCCAAAGTGTGAGCTGTGTGGATGCGCGTGGGCTGCGGTGTTTGCCGTGTGCACGCCCGCATGCGGGAGATTCCTCTTGACACCAAGTGCCGCCCTGCTACAATTTGCCCCCCAACCTACACACACACACACAGACAGACACACAAAGAGGGCTCTCATCCCCAGAGCAGCGCTGCCACGGCAGCAGCGAGAAAAGCACCGGCGGCCACCCAAGGCTGCGCGACGACGCCGGTAGCGTCAATGGACCCCGATTTATTTGTCTCATTCTCCTGTGCGGCCACCACCAGCTGGAAGCACAGCAGGGCGCACACAACGAGGGCCACGGCGAAGCGGTTGAGACGGGTGGCGGACATGGTATCCTTGCGAATTATTGCAATGGTTGCTTTTTGCTGATCCTGCCTGCGTTTTCTTCCGCAGCCCAGAAAGTGCAAGTAAACAGGAGAAGCGGGGAGGAGTGAGGAGTCGGCACAAACAGGATCCCGTCACAGAGCGAGCACAGCACAACAAGACGCAAGCACACACAGGGAAAAGAAGCAACACTGCTCAAAACCGCCAAGGGTACCGGTGCACAAGCGCCTTTGTACCCCACAGGGTGGCTGCTGTAAGGATCCCTCCGCCAACAGCACGCCCAAAGAAACAATTTATATTCACATAAGAACAATGACAGCCAAAAAAAATAAAATATATACCAAAAAACATAAACAAAAAGACAAACCAAAGAGTGGAACAGAAAAAAAAACGAACGATCGAGACAAATAATAATAACCCAGTAAATACCCATGTACAAGACCCAGAGTGTGAGCTGTGTGGATGCGCATGGGCTGCGGTGTTTGCCGTGTGCACGCCCGCATGCGGGAGATTCCATCTTACACCGTTTTTTCGTTCCCAATGGCAATTGCTGTATTCATTGACGATTTGTAGCGCTGTCGTCTATTTTTTTCTTGATTTTGTATTGATTTTTTTTTTTGGTGTATATATATATATATATATATGTGTGTGTGGGTGCGGCTTTGAATGGTGGTTTCTGTGTGTTTTCAAAATTGCCCGCTATTGATTTCATGTCATTTACGTAATATGATGAAATGAGAGGGTATAGTATTAGGATGACCTTGTGGCTGTGGTGATACCTCAAACATTGAGCCGTTAGATCCTTCTCATTCCGTGATGCACTCTTCGTTGATGCCGATGTATCTGTTGAGCGAATTCTCTCCTCTCCCGTAAGCGTTTTCAGATGTTTACTCTGTGTGTCTGTGTGTGTGTGTGTGTGTGTGGGATGCTCGGTGAGAAGAGTGCCGTTGTTTTGGAGATTAAGGCATTATCAACGCTTGTCATGTGGATTGTGTTCGTTAATTTAAATACGGCAAAAAGATAAATAAATAAATAAAACATTAATATTTTATTGTAGCCGTTTGTGTCATGCACTTTGCCTCGTAAATGGCAATACCAACTCATGCACTG